TTTTTTTGGAAAAAGAGCGGGCAAAAACACAAAACTTTTTTGGGGCCAAGTCAGCAAAAACAGCACAAAATACTTTTTAAGTAATGAAAAATAAGAATCTATGAAATATAATTATAAAGGTATGAATAGATAAAACACCAACCAATATTGCACGTTACAAATGTATTGGGACCATAAGTGCCTAAAATAGAATTTTAAATAAATTTTGTAAACACAAAAATCAAATAAAATAAAATTTTTTATGTAGGGGAATCCAACTTTTAACCCATAGATTCAGTTATTCTGTAACTTTGAACAATATTGAAGTATACACTATCCCACACCTTTCCATATTTAAAAAAAAAAAAATTAAATTTCTCTAACTATTTTTCCTCAAAAATAGATCCCGATACAGACGGGGCGCCTTTCGCCTGGTCAGTGACTCCTTTTTCACTCCCCCGAACTACCTTCACTTCTTTTTCTCGGTAAAATTATTACAAAAGGTAGAATATGATCTTTTATTTGTTTTTTATCATTATTATTTATCATCGTTTCTTCATATTCTCTATTATAATTAATGTAATATAAATTATAGGTGTCGTTCTGGTCACACACTTACGTTTCAGTTTTCTGCTATTTTACAAAATTTTAAGAAAATTCAAATAAAAATTTGTCTTGGTAAAATTTTAATTTGTAAATCAGCCTGGTCCAGTTTATAAATTTGGCCCCAAAAAATGCAACAACCACAAACAAATGTGTTCACATTTTTGAGTGTGTTTTCAGACTACTTTTGATTTTTATTGACAAACTATCACGGACAACACTGAGCCACTAACCTTACCCACCATTACCATTGTCTTCCGTCCCTATCCTTATCACCACACCCCTGCCAACCCGACCCATATCACCAACCACCTACCACCACCAGCCGACCTAACCGGTTCGTGCCACGCGGGCACTACACGCCAGCCAACCCCTCGAACAACACTCCGTTCACATACACTACCACCAAACCTAACACCTTACCATTCCACCCAGCTACGGACCTTCCCCATCATCGCTACCCATCCATGCACGCCACCACCACCACCCTCGGCCAAACCGCACAGTACTTGGCCAACCGCAGCACCACTTACACCACTGTAAATACGCACCTGCCACCGGGTTTCCGTACACACCCACACTTTTCTGGGCTCACCTGCGCATTCACCACCACCTTGGCCACCTAACGGTTCGAACCACCACCACCACCACTTTTGGCTTACCCTCCCACGTTCCCACCCACCCACCCACCGGGCCACCCACTTATCGATGACCCCTAACCTCCACTTAACGTTTGCACTAACCTCTCCACCTGCATCAGCACCACCCACCTGCCGCATTTCACTTAGCACTATGGACCTACCAAACATTATTCTATCCGGAGGTCACCGGGGCACTCAACCCACACTCGCAATCTCCGTACCATTTCTTTGAGCGCATAACCATACCACGCGTCGGTCCAACCCGACACACACCGCCCAACCAACCTGGCTACTACCCGCCAACCAAACCCGGCGCACCTTTACCTTGGCCACACTCCACGGTACCACCCACGTCGGCAACTACCCGGCCACACCACCCCCCCCAATTTCAGCCATTCCACCCAACAACATATTCAACCACCCACCCGCCACCACCCATCACCACCTTACCATCCGCCAACCCACTTGGCCACACGGGCCACCAGCCACATCACCCACTTCGCACCTCAGCCACTTAACGTCACCCCGCACCCACCACCACCACGAGCACCACCACCACCTACTCGGTTACTACCCACCACTCGCACCGGCACCTTACCCACCCATCACCACCTGCAATCCCGCGCACTCGAACCAGACCCCGTCACCACACGCCCGGGCCAAACCACCCGCCACCTATATAGCGGAGTTCTTACCAACTCCACCCACAACCACCACCTGGCAAGTGGCAGGATTTGTAAATACGGGGTTTCGTTACCATTCTAGGCGCGCAATACGGTTCGAACTACCTCCGAACACACTATAACGGATTCTTCTGCACAGTGGCAGATATGTAAATACGGGGTTTACATACCAACTTCTTTGCGCATGTACGGTTGAACACTCGAACACTCTATATGGATTCTCCCCTGCCAGTGGCAGATATGTAAATACGGGGTTTATACATACCATTTCTTTTGCGTATTACGGTTTCGAAACACTCGAACACATATACGGATTCCCTCTGCACAGTGGCAGATATGTAAATTACGGGGTTTCCCGTACCATTTTCTTTTCTTGCGCATTACGGTTCGAACAACTCGAACACTCTATAAACGGATTTGTCCTGCACAGTGGCAGATAGTAATACGGGGTTTCCGTACCATTTCCTTGCGCAAAAAATTAACGGTTCGAACAACTCGAACACCTAATAAACGGATGTCCCCTGCCACAGTGGCAGAATCATGTAATAACGACGGGTTTCGGGAACGCATTTCTTGCATTTCTGATCTACGAGTTCGACACAACCGCTCCGATCACACTATACATCGGACCCTTCACTATTCCCCTGACCCTTCACCCATTAGTGGCACGCATACACTCTCGTTTTCAATTCACCGTCGGGGTTTTAGATACCCCCATCTACTCTCTCAGCGCATTACACGGTTCGAAACACCTGCCGAAACCACACATCATACACGCGATTCTTCACCCAAGTTATTCTGCCACCAGTGGAGCCCTCATAGCCTAAATACAGAGTTGGATCTTCCCGTACCTTATCCATCATCGGCGCGCCATTAACCGTTCTCCTTCGAACTTTACACTTCGGAACACCACCCTTCCCATCTTTTCACTTTCTTTTTTTATTTTTTAATTTTTTTAAACAATTTTGTCATTAACAACCGCGTTGTAGGTTTATGTTTTTTTGAATAAACAAAAAAATACAAAATCAGGTTTTAATTTTTTGTAAAATAGTAGAACTGGACAACTAACGGTTACCAAAACACACCCATGAATCATCCTCACATTTTTGATCCATCATAGGCATGGGACATACTTCTCCAATAACCAAAACACTTCATTGGGAAAATTAAATTGGGATTTTTAGTAAATACCTATTTTAACTCAAATTAAAAAGGGGGAAAAAAATTAGGTCAGGGTCCCCTCTCCCACTTTTTTCATAATGGGGAAGAGATCCAAACCATAAAAATAATTTTTTGGGATGGTCTAAGGGTCCCTAAACAATATCCCCTCCTTTGTCTCTTATCTCCTTCGTGCCCGGATCTAAACGAAGAGCTTACCATCCGGAAGCTATGGACAAAACAATCTCTCATCCTTTGCACCGAGACAGCACCGACATGGCGAAGCAAAGCCCGAACACCAACATCAACACTACGAATATGAGCGCAACCATAGCATGATAAACTCTGCATCAACTCTCTCTTCACTCTCGGCGTCGGCCGAACTGAGCTGCATTTCACTCTTCAACACAACACTGCCCTTACAGATACAACCGTTTCACCGCTCTCCTGGCTCCTCGAGTCATCCACCTCCGATCGCGATCGCCGTCGCCGCGCGAAAGAAGAAGACGATGATGGCTTTATGTTCTTCATTAATTGTACAGTGACTTATGAAACGGTGGGGGTAATTATATACCTTTGACCTTAAGAGTTGATGTTGTGGTTTCATAGGCCATGGTGTTTATGTTTATCCACCTTAAAGTGGTTTGATTGCTTTAATTCTCACGCTTGGCCAACATCTCCCATTAAATTTGGAAATTCTTGTCAGTTTTCCCGTGGGACGGAGGTCAAACCAGCTTGTAGTTGTATTAAGTAAATCTCATGTGGCAAGACGTTGGGGGTGGTTTGTTTCTTCATTTTTTCTTCAATTTCCTTGATTACACTAGTAAAAGATCCTTGGGGCTTCTGTGGGCAATTAGAATAAAAATGCTAAATTTATAGTTTGAAAACGGTTTCAACTGACAAATTCAAAGTACCACCGGAAGCATTTGGGCTAACGAGTTGAAAACTAGTTAAATAATTAAGATTTACCTGGTATATTATTTGGAGCATATATCTAATAAAAATATTATGTTGCATTCTTCCAATGGATGTGTCTGTGTCTGTAGTGTGTTTGTTAGTGTATGAAGAATTTAGATCAAAAAATCGCAAATATAGAGAGAAAGATCAGTGGCTTCCATGAGGACATAGCTTTGTAGATATCCAGAGAAAATTCCTTATCATTTTCCCTGCCTTCAACAACAACAACAACCATCTAGCTTTGAATTTCTCT